GGTGGTGGTCCTTTATTATCAGCCATTTCTTCAGTGAAAGGTCCGTATGATGAAATGGGAAACAAAGGTGTCTGATGAATTTTTAAAAAAAAATATTTCTAATTTTTCTTAACAGTCTTCTATTTTTTTACTTTTTCTTTTTCTTTCTTATGAGCAATTAAATATTCATCGTCTTCTCGGAAAAAAGTACCTCTTGTTTTTCTCCTTGTGACATAAAAAATAACTCTCAGTAAAACAATATTGTCTTAAGTAAAAGAAAAAAAAAAGCTACAAAATAACATCATAAGAATCAATGATTTATTTACAAAAGAAAACAATAGAAATTCTATTTTTTATCGAGACAGAAATCATATCATTACATTTTGTCTTATGATTAATTCTTTTCAAGTTAGTTTCACATTCCACCTGATTATATTTGTATTTATCGTTTACGCAATTCGAATAAAATATATTATATTTTTAAAAATGAGTCACAAATGACATCTTTTTATATAAGTGTCAACGCGTCTTTATTGCTGAAAATTACATCTGTTATTTGTATTGAAGCTTTTTTTATTAACAATTATCTATAGGTGAATATCGTTTCAATTATGTATCGTGAGTACATAACTAGGGAAATTACCCATGGTATTTAAGTTGATATTCTTCTGTACGTGATATTATTCTTGTGGGATATTTAGCTTTCATTTTTATGATTCATGCATTTAGTTAAAATTATTTCTGTCATACAAGGTATAGACTATACTTACATTTTCTCATATACCGTTTAAACAATGTTTTGTATAAAAGCCACTAAATTCCATAGTTTATCAATACCATTTTATATATGAAGAAGAAAAATAGTATTCTTATCTCATTTAAATAAATGTATTTCTACCAAAATTTCGTAAGTAAATTTCGATAATAAAAATAATTCTTGTTCTATTCAAATATATATATAGTTCTTATATGTATTTATCTTCTTGTTGAATAATAAGAGGATCAATGGTAATGATCAATTGGTTGAAAGAGGACGAGACATGCTTAATGCACATAGTATAAATGAAAATACTAGGGAAGAAACAGCGAGAGAATTTAGAGAGATGCAGTGGAATGTCAATCTTAAGTTTCATCAATTTAATCAAGAAAAAGAACGAGCTCGTCAAATCGTGAGTCCTAATGAATTAATTCGTCTTAATATTGGTGGAAAAATAATTATTACTCGTCGAGAAACACTTCTTAAAGTACCAGGTTCATTACTTGCTAAGACGTTTGATGGTACTCATCAAAATGATTTACGTCGTAATCCAGATGGAAGTTATTTTTTGGATTACAATCCAGATTTATTTTCTCATTTACTTGATCAACTTCGAATGTTAAAAACTAATGAAACAATTCTTTTTTCTCCTCCATTATCATCAACATTAGTCAAACCATTTAATGAAATGTTGAAAGAACTAGGACTTCCACTTCCAAAACAATCACCAAATGATATTATTTCATTGAATGTTGGTGGTGAAAGGATTGTTACATTACGAAAAACACTTACTAGTGTTCCAAATTCAAATTTAGCTCGACTAATATCATCTTCAAAAGGAACGAAATATGATCAATTAGGTCAACCATTTCTTGATTATAATCCAAAATTATTTCAACATCTTCTTGATCAATTACGACAAGGAAAAAATTTAGAAGATAACGATTTAAATCTACCATCAAATGATGCATTTCAAGCAATGTTATCTGATTTACGTAAAGTGGAAAAATCGGTAAGTTATAATAAGTAAATATTTATTAATTTTATTTTTTTTTTATTAGAAAAAATCTCGAACAAATAATAATCGTAAACAAAAAAAAAGTAAATATATATATATAATATTATTTTAACAACTATCTTTTATTAATTTAGAATTAAATCCATCGAAAACGGCTAAGAAAAATTAAATGATAATATTCTCAATAGAAAAAAAAATAATAATTGCATGAAATCTTTTTGAATGTTTTTTTCTTCAGTTTTATTATTAATATATCGTAAAAAGAATAAATACTTTTAATAACGTATTCTTTTTTTTTGAAACAAAAAAAATAAATTAAGATTTTATCATTTATCTAAAATGAAATAAAATATATAGAAATATTTTAAGACATTCTGTACTTGTCTTTAACCACAAATATTTCGTACAATTCAAGGAATTTTTAAAATATACTTAACTAAAAAATGTAATATGTATATGACTAGGGTTTTTTTTCTTATCTAAATGGGAGAAATATAACGTGACTAGATTAAAAAATTATTTTTTCTAAATAATGACGTGATGGATTGTAGACATGGCTTGGTATGATAAATACATATATATATATATTTGGGATTAAAATCGAAAGAATAGTCATTCGTTCTTATTTAAATAAAAGAAATATGTACTGGTACATAAATTTTGTAAGTATAGAATTCTTACTGAAAGAAAATAATATTATGAAATATATTTATAGGTGGTGATGATTTTCGTGTTTTTATTGAATATAAATATAATTGATAGTAATCCTTCTGTTTCATCTGGATTATCAATGAAAGCACAACGATCATATCAACTTGCAATGAGAAATAGTCAAGACGAAAAAGTGAGAATACAAAAAGAATTAGATGAAATAGAATTAAACCGAAGAAATTTTGAGCAAGAATCAGAAAAAGTTCGAGGTCTTGTTGGTAATGAACACTTAATTCGATTTAATGTTCGTGGTCGAACAATTGTTACTCGTCGAAAAACACTTCTTAAAGTACCAGGTTCATTACTTGCTAAGACGTTTGATGGTACTCATCAAAATGATTTACATCGTAATCCAGATGGAAGTTATTTTTTGGATTACAATCCAGTTATATTTACTCGTTTACTTGATCAACTTCGAACGTTAAAACCAAATAAAACAATTTATTTCTCTCCTCCATTATCATCAACATTAATCAAACCATTTAATAGAATGCTCGAAGAATTCGGACTTCCACTTCCAAAACAATCACCAAATGATATTATTTCATTGAATGTTGGTGGTGAAAGGATTGTTACATTACGAAAAACACTTACTAGTGTTCCAAATTCAGAGTTAGCTCGACTAATATCATCTTCAAATGAAACGAAATATGATCATTTGGGTCAACCATTTCTTGATTATAATCCAAAATTATTTCAACATCTTCTTGATCAATTAAGACAAGGAAAAAATTTGACTGCACCATCAAATGAGGATAAAAATGCATATGAATCAATGTTGACTGGTTTAGGTCTAAAAAGTACGTTATGAGTTCATTATCATTTATGTTTATTATACAGCTTTAAATCGTTTTGTTTTACTATTAGATAATATATCATCAACTATTGCAACAACAACAACAACAATAACAACCACCAATGCAAAACAAACAAAATTTTCTGCGACTACTAAACCAACAATTAGCGCATCAAAGAATAAACGTATGAATTAGTTAATAGAACAATAAATATTGAATGTTACTTTTAGTACGTAAACAACAACTAGAAAAACAAAAGACTACTTCTATGAAGCCTTTAACAAGTACAAGTAAAACACCAGCTAATAAGAAGAGTAACTCAAAAAATACAGATGAGTATCAGCGTACCACAACTAAAGTAGAAAAAATTTCCCCAGGTAAAACAGAGGCAACAATATTAACTGCAACAGTGATCAATACAAGTTCTATAAAAGATAAAACATCAACAAGTAAATAATAATACTAATGATTCAATACAATCGCTACTTTTTTTTCTTCTTTAGTTAACGGCGCACTTCAAACAACGACTGATGGTAATTATTTGAATAAAAAAAATATCAACAAGATCGAAATTTTGTTTTATAGAAACAAGCGCAACAATTGATCCAACCAGTCAAGTGATAACAGGTGAATAACAAGCATTATTATAAAAATATAATTCTAGAGTTTCTATTTTTTTTCAATAGTCGACGACATAAAGTTATTTCAAAGTAACAACGACGCTGTTGACGCCAACTCTGAAACTGGTATGAATATTGAATAAAACTAATTCAAAAAAATCTATTAATTTATTGAGATCTTATAGACAAATTAAATCCGAGAAGAGAACCTACAATAATAAAAATAACACATTCTAGATACTTCTTTGTTTTTAGCACGAACCATTGAAACAAGTTCTGGTTTAAATACACCAGAGTCTGATTCTAATACACGTAATATATCTTACAAAAATAAAAATTCAATAAACATAAAATTTTCTCCAGGAGAAATAGAGACAACTACAATGACTAGTCATGAGTCAAGCACTTCAACCGATAGTCATATAAATGAAGCAGCAAATATATCTCAAACAGCAGAAGATGATACTACACCCAAGTCTGACGATGGTATATTTATTCTAATTTATAAGAAAAATAAAATAAAGAATATTTTTAGGAAACAAAGATACATTTATCGATACTACGAGTATTGATACTGAAAGTTCATCGATTCCTGAAACTATAACAGGTAAATGATAATGAACTTCTTTCAATTATTGTTCTGTTTAACTATAGAGACATATGTATCATCACCTCTTGAAAATGACAATGATATCAATACGCCAACTGAATCAGCTCTAGACGCTGCAGCATAAAATGAAAATAATCTATAAGATATTTTAAAAAGTATTATTTTATATAAGATTTATCTAACAAGAAAAATGTTTCTTTCTTGTTCAACAAATCTTTTATATTATAAAAAAATTGTTTGCTTTTTTTTATTTCATTGCTTTCATTCTTATTTAATCGCGATAGAAAATAAATTATAATAATAAATGAAAAATTTTTCAAATAAATTCTCATTATAAAGTTTTATTGTTCATTAATTTCAACTTAACTTTCGTTAATAAATAGAAAAATTTTGTGTATGTTTGAGATTAGTTGTTATATCAGCTTAATGCAATGAAGAAAAAATTGAGGATGATATAATTATTCTTTGCTGTTTGGCGAATATATTCTATATTAAAAAGGTACGTTTTATAAATATCTTGCACCCTAATACCTTCAGGTATTTAATTAAGAAAAAGATGTTTTGTTTTTGATCGTAAACTGCTTTCATCAGCATAACACGATGACTTGAATCTTTTTTAATTAAATTATTTGTTATAAATAGAACTACTGAGAAAGTAAGATTTTGTTCTTATCTTAATGGTAAATGTTATGGTAATCTTCGTTAGTGATAGTTGATCTAAATCTATATCAAATTGCTTTGATATATGATGTATATATCTATCAATCAAATGATATATTATTACTGTGAACGATAAACACAGGAACTTTAAGCACACGAGTATTTAGGTGCATAATATCAAAGAAAACAAAGAAAATCAAGGCAAATATGAATCGACATGGATACTGAAATCTGTCGATGTTATCTTTTCTGTACCACCGCCCACACCCACACTCAGGTGCTTGTACTCATCGTTCCGGTTCCCGATTTCTGAATAAGTCGAAAACTATAACTATTAGTTTATTTTCATTATAACACCTAATTTCACAATATTAAATAAAAATATTTTTTTGTCTATTGATATTTACTTATTTATATTTTACACCCTCTTATAATAATTTATTAAAACTTAGAAGTATTTAACAGATTTTTATAGAAGTTCATCTGTTGAAATTGCATTCAGTAATAAAAATCGTTTTGAATTTATTCATGCTATTTCTAAATTCATTATAAATGACATCATATTATGAAAATAGATTATCTATATTAAGATATACGTAAATTTATTTTCATAAAATACTAGAATAATAATATTATTCTATAAAATTATTTTCTATATCTGTCTTTTTTAAAAGTGTCTCTTCTTTTGTAATACTCATTTGAATTGGTATTGTATTTTGTCCATTTATTAAATCAGAATTATTTCCTTGCAAATTAACACTTGCTGAGTCTTCTTGTTTTCGTTGTTGACATTCAGTAATTATACTTGAATTGTATATAACATTATTTCGATTTTCTTCGTTTCTCCATATTTGTTGTTTCATATTATAGAATAAATTATGTACAGCTGCTTTTATTGATGGTGTTTGTAAAATTGTAATAATATGAATAAAACTCATTCCAATAGCAATAAAAAGATAACTAAGACGATAGGTAAGAAAATGTGTTTGATATTGATTAATTATTGTTTGAGTAAAGAGTGATAAATAAACAATACCAAGAAATAAAAGTGAACATGCTGGTAATATAATACGTTTAAGCATTGTTAATTGTCGATTAATTATTCGTCGACGTTTAAGTGTAATCATTGTTATTCTTGTAGCATAAATATAAATCGAAAAATAAATTGAAGTAAAAACTATTAAGAAAATTCCATAAACACAAATTGCAATATATAATACGGATACTGGTTTTGTAAATGGAATTGGACAAAAAAAATCTTCTGGAATATAAACAAATGATTGTGTAATTAACATTGGTAATACAAGAAGAAATGAAAAAATCCATTGAAATAAACATAAATAAATAAATGTTTTATAATTATCATTTTTTCTATAGAAAATTACCAATCGAAGACGATAATATGCTTGAAGACAATAACTAGTGTAGAGTAAAGCAAAACCAGTGAAAAGAAAATACGAACGAATTGGACAAAGATTTTGTTGATCATAAATATTTGGAATAAAAATTGATGATTGAATATCATTCATAAGGATATTAATATAAATAATAAGATCACTAAGACATAATTCAAGTGTACAAATACAAGTATTTGCAAGTAAAATATTTGTAATTATATGATGACGAATTAATTTACGAGCAATAATAAATAAAATAAGAGATGAAGTAAATATTCCAACAAGTAAAGAAAAAATTGCAACAAGATCAAAAAAAATAAATAGTGGAGTCATTTGCGACATAATTCTGTGAAATGAAAAGTCTAGAAAATGAAAAGATTATTCGATTATATCAAATATCTGTTTTTACTCAACAACCTTAACTATGTAAGATGTTAATCAGATACGCAGGCATGCACGCGAGACGAACTGTCTTACTCCAATTTTGAAATACGCAGTTATTCATTATCTTAAATTTTTTTTGTATTAAAATGCGACTTTATTTCCTTGAAAATATTATGTAGGATTATGAAGTCTATTTAAATTTTTAATTGAAGATAAAGATCAAAGTCATCTACATTTTTTTTATCCATTATATCTAGTATGAATTCAGTTAACAGATAGTTTCCTGTTCTTGATATTAAACAGAATCTTCACCTTGAATTTATCTTAACTATAAGAGAAAAGTACCAAAATGGTATTACGAAAAGATAGAATAATTAACTAGAACTATATCTGTTTATTATGTTTCATCTGTCATCAAGACAAAGAATGAATAGAACTCAGATGACATATCATTATAATGACTATATACAGAGAATCGAATAGAAGTAAAAAAATATCATTAACAGTTTCTCTCTTGAAACTAATTAGTAAAATTTAAAGGATAGTAGAAGTTTTTTTTGTCAAAAGTTCAGTACACTATGATAAATGTAACATCATCATCATATTGTTTGTTTTCAGTTAGAGAAAAGATATCGTACTAACCAGTGAGATAAAAACACGTCTTTACACTTCAAAAGCAAACACTTTAACGCCTTTTTTACAGATTTTGCTTGACTGAGCTCTTCTGACTAATTACTCTGGAAGATTTTCTTGGAATGGCAATTATCGTAAAAATCATCTATTCAAAAAAGTAGATTTACACTACCTATGAATTATGATATAGTTGACACAGAGAAGCATAATCGTAAGAAATGATAGAAAGAGAACTTTTGTTAATGTGGGATGTCAAAGTCAACATTAAGGATACAAAGAAAATAGAGTAAAGGCGTTAAAATATAAGATATAAATAATTACTACTTTTTTTCTTAGTCGGATAATTGCATCGAACGCATTAAAACGACACGTTATTACATTATTATTAATTAATGTAAATCTCTTACAGCTATAAAAGAAAGAGAAAAAAGATATATAAACTTACTAATATAAAACTATCTGTTATTATCCATACTCATAAATTTCTATATTTAAAAAGGACGTCTTTATATGCTATACTTAATTTTTATAAAAATTAAAAGAAAAAGACAATATATCGCTTACTGTGAAACTCTAAGTGTGCCATAATAAATTATAGACGTCGTTAATATTAATCAGTAAATTTTGTCATTCTATGATTAACATCGAAGTATAATCTATTTTCATATTTGATATTAGTGACAAAATCTTTCTTGAATTTTTCGCAATAGGTCGCCGATGAAATTCAACAGAAAATAACTTCTCAAAAGCAGAGCTTAGAAAGAATTCAAACGTGTTTCATTATATGAAAAGAAATAATTAGCTTTGTAAAAATATTATATTTGAGAATGAATATTTCTGCAATGTAATACTACAGATCAAATATGATTCTCAAGCTCTGATTTGGAGGAGTTAGTTTCTATTAGATTTTACGGACTATATTTTACAAAAACATTTTAGGTCCGAATGAAAGTATTCTGTATATAAAACAAGTCAATTATCGATGCGCAACACTCTCTTATTAAGGTGCATAACTATTCTATACAATTTTATTTTACTTTCATAGAGGAAATGTTGCTCGTAAAAAAACGCATAATGAAACATTATTAAATTATTTTATTTTCTTTATACGTAACTTTTTCTACGTTCTAAAAAAGATACAATGTTTTTTCCTCAAGAAAGTACTTGATTAATTAATTATAGGTTCAAACAAATCATGTTTAGTCCATGTAGGTGTTTTTAAGATTTGTCCTTTGCCAAAAACATATAACAACTGTAAATCAGTTTGATTGAGAATAATAATATCAGCATCGTAACCTTCAGCTAGAAAACCTTTTCGATTCAAATTAAGATATTTAGCTGGATTTGATGTTGAAAATTGAATAGCTTCTTCTAACGGCCATGCATATTTTAAAACTAAATTTTGAATTGTTTTCAATGATGAATCTGGTCGTGCCATATCATATGATTTCAAATGACCGGATGCATCA